AAGGCCAAATACTAAGGACAACAGAAATATGAGGCCTGGTGGAGTCACTGTCACCAGAAAGGGCACGTTAGAGTGGAGGTAGGCTGTGATCTGCAGGTCAGAGGCTGAAATACTGCTGATGATTTCCTCCACAATGCTGGCACTGGTCAAGCAGAAATCTGGGTCTGCTCACAGCCAGGTAGTCAGAGTAGTCTATGGTCTTATGCTACTCCTGCATGGTCCCCACCCTCGCTCCTGCCATCCACTGTGAACTAAGTAGATGGTGGCTGCCTAAATATGCATGAGTAGGGTAGGCTGGGACAGCCCATGAAAGAGGAAGTCTTAATGAAGGACACAGATCTATGAAGTTTAGGTAGCAAAAGAGGAAAAAAAGGCCTTCAAACTTGGGATAAAAACTACTCAGGTAGAGGTAGTAATAACAAAGTCAGTGTGTAGTCCAGTCAGACATGTACGGAAGCAGCTCTGTGCTCATGTGCAACCACAAGGGGTTAGACAGGGTCCTCCAATCCCAGGCAGACCGATTAACATGATGTGATGGGCAACAGGGTGAAAAGAATGCTTTAAGAAGACAGGGCTAATGGTTAGATGATTGGCAGGGAAGGTCATGATACAGCAATGAAACACCTATCCCTCCCTGCCTTGGAGAGAAACACTCCCTTCCTCTTCCGGGTTTAACAAGCCTTAATCTATATGTTCAACTGCCATCTTGTTTTTCCTTGCATTCCAAGGAAAGAGGCTTTGCTACAAAGAAACTTCAAAGCAAAGCAAAGGACAAAACCTTGCAAAATTAACATTGGAACTGCTGACCACTGGTGCTCATGTTGCAAGCAAGGCTGGCTAGAGTGCTGACGCCTGCCCACGCCGCCCTCTCTTTCATTCCCTTGTGACTCCAGTGCCCCTACTCTCTGCCATTTGTCAACAAATAAATGAAATTAACTTTTCTTCTCCTCAAAACCAGGTTACTACTGGCAAAAGATACCAGGAATTCTGATATCAGTAATAAGGAAGAAACATTTTTGACACTCTTGATACTAACCTCAAAACAAAAGAAAGACTATTTTTGATTTTAAGTCAAATCAAGTTAGCCACATTTCACCAGTAATGAAGAACAAATGTTTTAAATTTTCTCGACATAAGGTGTTTATATCCTTGTACACTCATTACCACAGATGGTAAAATAAATTATAAAATATAAAACATTTTACTTTGTCTTTTATAAAAAGAAATTTAAAATAGACCTACTGATATGTTACAACCTGCGTACATGTAAAATAAACATTATTTTCTACATATAAGTGACAGCATCTGGTATTTGTCTTTCTCCTTCTGACTTATTTTGCTTAGCATAATTCCCTCCACTTCCATCCACATTGCCACAAATAACAAGTTTATTTTTTTGATAACTTAGTAGTATTCCATTAGGCATCTACACACAAACACACACACACACACACACCCCTCCACAACTCCCTGATCCATTCACCTATACTTGGGCACTGTGATTGTTTCCATAGTTTGTTATAATTTATATGCAGAATACAGAGATATCAAACAAGGGATGAAATAACGCCAACAAACCCTAGACTTGGAACCACCAGAGGAGGGGGAGAGGGGCTAGAACAAAGTGGCAAAGGAGCAGAAGGGACTATGAGGATCGACTGTGGGATCCGGTGGTGGGGATGGTGAAGTAATGACACCTGGAGGGGAAGACCCTAACCTTCTAAACCACAAATAGCAAAGTAAACCAATGTTAACCCAATAAAACTTCTTTTTAAATTAATAAATAAAATGTATTATCCTTAAACAATATACACACATTTTCTTGGTAGAATATGTATCTGACTTGCAGGACAGAATTGACAGTGTGTGGTACATCTTCTAAAACTGAATTAGGGTGGGAATTAAAACTAAAAGAAAGCAGTACTTAAAGACATTTGAATAGTTTTCCATTCAGGACTTGCAAACCATTTTAGATTTTATTTTCAACAATTTAATGTCAAAAGTCAAAAGTTGAAGAGCCCTATCTCTGCTGATTGAACCTAATACAATTATTATACTATTAAACAATAAAAATGAAAAATAATGGCCAACACCACAATGTCAATCATAGTTTAGTTGACTGCTGGCTTTTCTTGGAAGGCTGGCATGAACTTTCTTTTTTATTCTATTGAAACTATAAACCACGACCTATAGAAAACAAATATAGAATCAGAGTAATGCTTTATCTTGAACACAAGTGTCTTCTTTAGTCATCAGGATAAATGAGATATAATAAGGGTAAATTTCATTCTTCTCCCCATTCAGGGTCAAGGAACCTAGTAAATTTATTTACTTGTACATTCTACTGATAATTATCAGTTTACCCTACATTATACTGTTATCATGTTTTATGAATATATCTTATATCCCAACTAGATGGCAAAATTCAAGAAATCATGCTATAATTCCTTAGTGCTTCAACTCAGGTTTTATAAGGTTCCTTGAGCACACAAGAGTATTATAAATATGAAGAGGTTGACTGTTAAATTATGAGAAACGTATGCCAACATGTTAGATGTGTCTGCTCCCTCAAGTAATAACACTTTTCTGTCACCTTCCAAGTTGACAAATATTAGAGTTCAAAAGCTTGAGAAACTCATTTTAAAATTGTAGCATTAGCCAAGGAATCATGAAAGACTGCATTCCTTGCTTACCGTTGCCCCCTGCTCAGTGGAGTCTTGCAGTTCTTCTCTTAATCCTAAGAGAACCCACCCTGTCTTCACTAACATAAAGATTGTCCTCTCACCTAAAGCACTTGCCAGAACATCTATAATATAATATGTCAGTACCTTGTCAGATTTCTAGAAAGGAGAAGTTACATGACCTATTACTACACAGTATCCAATAATACCTAGAAGGATTTATTTTACTACCAGACATTCCACATTTACCTCTTATTGATTTTGGAGTAAATACTAGATTCTGAGGGAAAATCTGGGGAAAAATTCCGCTAGCATACTGCATGATTTAATGGACCATAAAAGACCTTGAAAATGAACTCTGAGAAACACTGTTAGTATACTGACTAGCTAAGATGAGGGGAGAGGGCAAAAGCTAACAGAAAATCTCCGACTTTGTTGCTAACAGAAAAAACTTACCCTTGCAATGGAAATCAGAACACACTCATCCCTAAAACCCAAATATCTGATTCAGTCCAGGTGAAGGTAAGAAAAGAAGCCTGATCCAAGGCCAGTAAAGGTGTGATTCCCCAGACACTATCATTCAAAGCAAGTTTTGCTATATGTAAGTTCTAACTTCAGGCACTGTCTGTCCTTACATCTGTGTGGCTCTGGTTGTCTTGAGCTCATGTATGGTTTTCTCATCAAAGCCCAGACTTCAGGTCATAAACTGGCCTGTGTCCTTGAAGTAAACCTTGCATCCTGGTCCCTGTTGGGTTACATCTGTCCTCAAGGGTCATGAAACCTGACAGGCCTTGATTGGCTCATGGTCTGTACCAGTCTACCCTCCTGACTTGCAGTGACCACTGCAGCAAGGACACAGATGCAGGGAGAGAGGAAAAGTGTGTCTATGTGTTGCAAGTTACACTGGATTGCCTTGGTCAATAAATGTTTTAGACTCAAAAGAGGTTTCCTTAAAGCCACTCAATATTAACTGGTCATAGAAAATAATCAAAAGTAGCCCCTGTGAGAAAACATGAGAGAAAAGGAAGAGATTCCTTCTTACAGGGAACTTACACACTTTTGGTGAAACAAATACCCTAAGACTCATCAAACAACAGCACCACTGGGTAGCAGGGACCTGACCCCTAAGGTGGAACTGCACAGTTCTCAATACTTTCTCCCGCAGGAGACCTCTGCACCGTGTACAGAAGTTCAAAGAGGTTCTCAAGCTACAGATTTCCAGCTCCCCTTGCCATGGGTTCTCTTGTAGCAGGTCTCAGGAATACCCACATCTGTGCTTTTCAAAGCTCCATGAAAGTATCTGATGTGAAGATGTGTAGCTGATGGGTTAAGAACCATTGTCGTAGAGGGTTTCATTTTCCATGGCGTGATTTTTATAATGTCTTGCTAGTGAAGCATAATACCTAGACAATAAGAGGATATATAATATCTCTTAAATGAAGGTGCCAGCAGTTGGTTTCTCTTTGTGACCTTTTTACTATTATTTTCCTTTCCTAATCTATTATCGCTTCTAGGCTTTTAACTGCTCACAATTCTACATGATAAAAAGTACTATATGTAATGCAACAGCTGTCAGGAAAAGTGAAGTAATATAAGCTTCTTGCTAGTTAAAATGCAAAGTAAAAACACAAATCTGATAGAATTTTTACATACCTTGCCCCAGACATACTGAAAACAAAGCTTGAGAAGAATACAAAGGGTACCAAAAGGCTTGGTACCTTGGGTAAAAATGGTTCTCTGAGGCCATAAGCCCTTGATGCCAGCAGTGACTTGGTCAAGAACGTCTCCATGATGCTGAGTATCTTGAGTCCAGTAGGACAAGACTTCGATGTTTCATTGTCTCCTCTAACACAGAACAGATCCTTCTAATCTGATCCTTGGGTAAAGACATGCAACTCGTATCAGCTAACAAAAAGACTAACATTTACTGAATATGATTATGTGCAGTCACATCCTTTATATGTACATAATTTTCATGTACATATCCTTTATATGTACAATGAATTTAACCCTCTGATAACCCAAGGAGGTAGTATGGTAATTTTCCTACTTTTTTGGGTAAGGAAACAGAGGCACAGAGAGATTAAACAACTTGACCAGGTCAGAACTGGTAAGATAGCTAAATTGGGCTTCAAATCGAGGCAGTCTAGCTCCAGAGTATACACTTGGAAACACTAAGGTTTTGATTAGCTTGATAAGTCATTTCCAGCAAGGTCTACAAAGTCAAATAAGGTGGTGTACTATCTAGGCAACTGGTTTCGTTTTAATTACATCTAAATGTTAATTCCTTGCAAAAATATAAAATCTTCAAAGGTTTACCTTGGAAAACAGTTCAACTGGTGCAGCTATAGCTTTCCGTTGTTTCAAGTACTGTTCCCAAGACCACGCTTTCTGTGCAGCTGCCGAAGAGCCTGGAAGAGAAAACACAATGCCTTTTTTTGAAAGAACTAGTGAACAAGAAATAATTAGCAATAATAATAAAATTTAATTGAACATAAACCCAAGAAGTAGGTTAATTAATTACACTGGTAATCAGAAGACCTGCAGCTACTAAGAATCTCATGTCTCACTTACCATGAGTATTTAGTAAAATCATCTAACCACTGACCACTCCATTGTCAACTTTTAGGGCAGGTTATGACTACATCCCAGCCTCACGACGACTTCAAACAGGCACTCTTTTCCTCCTCTCAAAGAAAAGTAAAAAAAGAAGACGTACAGGCTTTTAATAAGACCAGTTGGTTAATTTTAAGGTGAGTGACCTGAAAATGTTTTATAATCTCCTTTCACTCTCATTCCTTCTTCCAGTATGAATGTCAGTTGGTAGAGTCCGTCAGAAGGCGATGTGAAAGATACATGCCAAAAGCCTTAAAAATTATTCATATACTTTGAACCAGCAGTTCTCTTTCTAGGAACTTGTCTCAACAAAATCACAGTGGACATGGGAACAGGCAAAACACAAATATTTTTATCCCAAATTTCTTAATCATAATGAAATAACAAAAACAAACCGAAGGACCACCAAAAGGGGGTTAATTAAATGAATTGTACAGACATGTCATTTAATAACAGGCTGTAAAATTACATTGTAGAAGACTGTTTAATGGCAGAGAAAGGATATGGTAATGATACACTACTAAGTAGGGGGAAAAGCAGTTTAGGAAACAAAATTACTCTTTTTGGTAAAATATGTAATGAAAATAAAAAGACTAAAATTATGTAAATCTATATCTGAAATGCAGTCTTAGCTAGACATCAAGATTATAAGTAATTTCTTTCCAATTTTCAGTGCATTTGGTTTTCTGCTTTCCAAATTTCCTAGATAAATAGCTACCCTTTTGTCATACAATAAAATTATCATTTTCAATGACAAAAATCAGATGAAAAGATTAATAATTGTTTTAAGTTTATATTCTATGTACTAGTATCTTCTCTAAAATCACATTCTAAGGAAGTAGTCATGGTAAAAGCTGATGGTAAAAATGTACATCACAACACTGTCACACAAAAATAAAAAACAGAACATTAAATGAATTATGGCATATATATATACACACACAAATGATTATAAAGTTATGTAAATCCATGTTTTTTTAAAGTTTTGTTTATTTATATCATTCATTCATTCATTCATTCATTCATTCATTCATTTATACAAGCACTGGGTACAGACAGAAACGCGGGAGGGTGAGAGAATTCACCAGAGCCAGATGGAGAGCAGAACAGGCAGAGTGATGAAGTACACTGCTGAGGGGAGCAGTGGGCGGCAGGAGAGGTCTGCGCGCCATGTGGGACCCTCGTCCCGCAGCCGGGGATTGAACCGGCTCTGCAGAGGCTGCAGGCAGCCTCGCAACCTGGTGCTCAACCGCTGAGCCACCAGGGTGGCCCTAAGTCCATGTTTTTTAAATAACAAAATAATGAGAATTCTCTGGTTTAAAAGTCAAAGTGAGATTACAAAACAGTATATATTAAAACATTAATTTATTAGATATATTTGTAAATCACCTCCTTCTTGCAAGACATTATGCATATGTGTGTATCCACATAAACAGGAGCATAAAAAAGTAATTGGGAAGAAATTGCAAAATATTTACAATGACTATACACGAGTATTAGGGTATTTATAAATATTCTTTCTTCATTTGTTATTTTCTACATTTAAACATTTTTTCACAAGTATTACAGGAGTTCCCCTTAAATGGCTTTACTTTCTGAAGTTTCAGTTACCTGCACTTAAATGTGTTCCCCAAATATTATATACAATATATTTTCAGAGAGACACACACAGAAAGAGGCTACATTCATATAACTTTCATTGTAGTATATTGTTATATTTGTTCTATTTTATTTTCAGTTATTACTGTTAATCTCTTACTGTGTCCAAGCTGTAAATTAAACTTTATCATAGATTTGTAAGTATAAGAAATAACTACCTGCATCTTATAGCATATTCCCCGCAGATAAGGGGGAACGACTATTACTTAACTACACACATACACATGTAGAGGCACACTCACACAAACACACACAAATACTCATACACTCTTCGGAAAAAGCTGATCAAAAAGTGCTACGTGATTATTAATTTTAACATTCATCTTGTAAAATGCTTTAGAAAAAGGTAAAGGTGATGAAAGTTCACAGCTGCATTAACATTGTTGATGACAGGTGGTAAGATATACCTCTAAGTCAAATATTTGAAGCCAAACAAGACAATAGAGCAAAATGATGTAATAGTAATAACAAACATAAAAATTCATCAAGTTGTGCATGAAGAATTATAGAGACTTTCAATTAATTCTAAAATATATTCTGAGTTCCTCTTAATGTGCCAGGAGGCGTGTTTTTGCAGAATTAAAAATATAAACCAGTCCCTGGCTTACCAGATTAAAAATAAACAAACAAAAAAAATACATATTTCCTGACAAATATATAGAGTCACATACACTCAAGCAATAAAAAAAATCATGTCAATTGGGCCTCCCTGGTGGTGCAGGCGGTTCAGTGCAGCAGTGCTGGTTTGATCCCCGCGGGCCCCGGAGATACCCACATAGCAAGGTAGATCTCTCCTATCTCGCTCACTGCCCCCCTTAGCAGTGTATTTCAGTCTGTCTGCCTGTTCTGTGCCCCACTCTGTCTCTGGTGAAACCTCTCACCCTCCCGCACATCTGGTCTGTACCCCAGTTCTTGTATAAATAAAATAAATCTTTAAAAAAAAGTTAAAAAAAATCATGTCAATTTATAATTTCAAAAGAAACACAGAGCACACACATTAACATTCACTATCAATCATAACACTCTAATTTGTTAATGCTAAGCAATGCACTAAAGTTTTGATAATTTTTAAAAGCATTTCAATCATTAATAAGGTTAATAAATATCACCAATGGTCCTGCCTTTATTTGAAAACAGAGACATCATAATGTGCTTTTCATGGGGGAGCTTACAGTCAGCTGGCCCATGACAGTACTTAATGTGCCATTTCTACCACAACATGAGATACTGTTGTTTTTCTAAACAGAGAAAGCAATTTGACAAATCCAGAAGATTATCTAATATTATTCAACATCCCTATTTTCACATAAGCATTTTACTACATTACAATTATATGCTTTACAAAAAAAAATTATAGCAGTATTGGCGTTCAAGCAAACATAGATATCTCATTTTCTACAACAGCTGTTCTTAAAAAGACTGTGTGTAATTTCTCAATTTAATCATATTTCCAATTGCCATATATTATAATTTCATCGAAAGTAAATCATACCTAAAACCTTTTATGATTTATATAAGTAAACACTGAACCTTTCAAAATTTATCAGAAAGAGAAAACACAGTATCAAATAATAACAATTTCCAAAGAAATCAGTATTTCCGTAAAGTAAAAGAACACCCAGCATTACAGTGCCTGAAAGTGAGCTGAGGGAATACCAAGTTGCCATCACCTAGGAGCCTGTAAACAGGCCTCATCCCCTCATCACCGATTCTCAGGGGAACCTATCAGCCCTTCTGTCTCTCATCCTTTTGTTTCATCCTTTCTTCACAGACATTGTATGAGCTGAAATCAAAATACGCTGAAATGAACCAGTTTGTTTATTTTAATTAGAATGTCATATTTCATAAAGAGACCTTGTTATTTTTATTTAACTTTTTTTTTTTTTAGATATATAATCACGCTTGGCCATAAATATTTGTTTAATGACTTAAAGGGAAGGCTGGCAGAATGGTAGTGCTTTTGGCTTAAAAATGAATTCAAAGATAACTATTTTAACCAACTCATTTTTCAATTTCCAGAGAAAAAGAACCAGTTATAAGTTAGCACTACTTCAGGCAATGAATTTACTTTTTATGCAATGTTCTCAGGCATACGCTATAGGAAGTCAGATACACACACAGATTTGTAAACTTTAAATTCCATTTCCTTTCATATACAACACTAGCTATAGCAAAATATTCTAATTATTGCCTTTCTGCCAAACTACCAATGCACGAAATATATCTCACTGCATATTATCTGTCACTTAATATATCCAATGCACCTGTTACATGCCAGGTACTGAATTAAGTGGGGGGTATGTATGTATGTTTTTATGTGTGTGGGCACATTCCAGTAAAAGCCTGCATTTAAATAAAATTAAAAAAAAAAATCCTAGCCCATACACTCAGACTATACACAGTCAATACACAGCAGAAATGACTATCAAATTAATAACTTTTATGTTTAAAATTCCCATAAGGTTATGTTTGCAATGAAATAGAACTCTCTGATGGTGGTTTTGCATATTTGATTACAACTTTTGAAGTCAGGTAGATAATACATATTTATGGCTAAAAACACAGGGTGTTAAGAGTCATTGATCTATTCAATGTTATATTCTAAAAAGAAGAATGCAAAAACAATAAATACAGTTTTTACAACTGTATGAAGTTGGAAAATATCGAAACAACTAATGGCAGAGGTCAAATAAATTATGATTATAAAGACCACATATTATCACTTTTGTAACTATTGAATTAGAGCACAATTAGAGCACAGTTTATATGTACTTTAGAATAAAAACTGTACATGTTTAGGTATGCACTAAAACCACAAGAAAATAAATGATCATTGTATTAAGATCATGAGATTGGTCAAGCAATTCTAGGCAGGGCCTCCCTGGTGGCCTAGCAGTTAAATCTCAGTGCTATCACCACTACAACCTGAGTTTGATACCTGGACAGGGAGCTAACCTATATATGGTGCAGCAGACCTCCCCTGTTCTTGCCCACTGCTCCCCTTAGCAGTCTATTTCAGTAGATCCACCTGTTCTGCTCCTCACTCTGTCTCTGGCAGACCCTCTTATCCCCACCCCTTGCACCTCTAGCCTACACGCCAGTTCTTCTATGCATAAATAAATAAACCTAAAATAAG